GTGGGTTTGAAAAAGTTTCTTTGAAAGATTTCTGAATAACTCTTGTATCTGTCCTCAAGAGTGTTTGAAAAATTTGTTTTGAAAGCTTTTGAAAGTGTTAGTGTGAAAAGATTTTTGTTTGTTTTTGGAGAGAGCAAGTATCCATGAGTCATCTACCTACCCTAAGGAATTAGGCTGTGTAAAAGTCCTTAAGGTAGTGCCATCCCACCATTGAGAGGTAGGTAGCACCACCGTTGGAGGTGTTCGGGTCAATTCGATTGTAGGGGCAGTGTGGTCACCGAAGCAACATTTAGGACACCTTAGAAGTAACCCTAATGTCCTAGATCCTTTTTAATCTGAGGCAACCGTTTCGAGGCAACTGTTTCGAGGCAACTGGATCATGGACATAAGAGCGACCGCTAAAACGTCCTATACTTGACGACCACGTTTCGAAGGCAACGAGTGAGGCGTACCCTAGAAGTGGTGTGTGCATTGTGTGTTGTTTTCATGTTATGTTTTATCTTTGATCATGGCATTGTGAGCTACGCGTCATTTTTAGTTATCATACATTCTTTCATGCAATTTAGAATTTAGGAGTGCGGGAAATTAAATACAGAAAGGTAAAAGCTACGCTATTACAAGGCGCGGGTCTATACATCGCCAAAATACAAAGACCCGTTTTTGATAAAGATGCGGAAAGTAAAAAAAAGCAATAAACCTAATTACTATTACATCCTTGAACAATTACATAATAATCAATAAGAAAAATAATGCGCGAAAAGAATTAAACTGAACGTCCGAGGGTGTTGGGCCTTTTTGAGAAATTAAATTAAATTAAAGCCTAATTAATTATTTAATTAAAGAAAAGAAAGTGTGTTTTTATGTTTTTTGTATTTATGAAAAAAAGAAAATAAAATCAAGAGGAAACCCTAATTCTAAGCTTATTTACTTATTAATGAAAAAAAGGTCAAAATTGGACTAATTAACTAAATCATTTGATTTACATGTTTATTTACAAAAATAATAATAATTAATAATGATGATTAATAATTAATTAAGAAAAGATAAAAATGTCAAAACCTAATTCTATGTATTTTTTATTTATTAAGAAAAAGATTGAATTTTAAACCTAAATTAACCTAGATTAGTTATTAGAGTTTATTCACAAAAATAAATTAGTGAGGAAATTAATAAATAATTAAATATATTTTGTATTTTGTTTTTCTGTTTTTATTATGGAAAAAATTATTTTTATGGTGAATTAAGAGAAATAATTAAAACAATTAAAAGAATTAGAAAAGAAAAGAAAATTAAATTAAATATGCAAAGCAAACCAATGGGGGTGTCAGGCCCAAAGTGGAGGTGTTTGTGAGGAATTCTGGCCCATTGAAGCATAGAGCCCAGCTGACTTTCCTGATCGTGTGCACGTTGGTTGACCAGAGCATACCATGGACTTCATTCTGTGGCCATTGGATCATTGATCAAGACCATCTGGCAAGCTACGCGTGAAGGTGCGTGATGGACCATTGAATCGTTGCTGCATGGGAATGGGTTAAGACAAAAATCAACAATTATATGGGGGGACCTGGGAATCGAACCCAGGTCCCAATACCTACCAGCCACATTCCCAACCAACTGAGCCACCAAACGCGTTTGTACATATAATGGACAGTAATTATTATGTAAGAAAAACAATCATAGTGGTATAAGACAAAATAAAACGCGCCAGATTTGAACTACCCAACCATGCACTGCCACGTTATCTCTTTCTTCGTTTGTACCTGTAAACATGAATAAGATAGCGGGGGTTTTAAACCCCCACAAAGCAAAAGTCTCAAAAATAGCGAATAGCCCTGTGGATCACATAAATTGAGCGCGAGGGTTTCATTCGATTCGTCTTGTTGCAACGAATTTGTCCATATATGGCTTGAGGTCTAATTTTACAGCATACGCAAAGCCCTAATTTTTGAACCTTGGAACCCTAGATATCGCCCATGGTGGATTTTGATTTAGGCAGTTTCAGCACAATTCAACTATACCAAAAGCTTCAGGGAGATGTCAGTAATACAAATCAATGAGCAAAACATGTCAATGATGCATAGAAATTAGGTTTCGATTATGAAAATATTCGTTCAAACCATGACTTTGTTTTACCGTTTCCTTGAGTATGAGAGCTTGTTCTTGATAGTAATAGCTTCTTGGAGACTTAGGCAAGGTGATTGAATCCTTTTTAGGCTTTGAAACGTGCTGCAAGTATGAAATCAGTTTCACAATTTTCTTGAGTTTTTGCAAATTGGCTATGGAGTTTTTAGCAGCTTTCACGTGTGTTTTAGAATAGGGTTAGCTTATGCCTTTGTATGTGATCGAATTTAGGTCAAAACCTTGGCCCAAAAGTCCATGAATTAATGTTTGCAATCTTTGATTTTTAATCATGAAATTTTCAATCTTTTTTTCTATGAAAACCTTGCCAAATATGGATGATTTTCCTTGTTTGATTGAGAAACGACTTTGCCAGCTTGCCCTGATCAGATTTGCTCCACCAAAAGATCCAAAACATATCTTTTTTAATTTTCCTATAATTAAAACCAATTAAATGAATTAATAATAATAAAAATTCAATTAATTAATTAAAAATAAGAAAATAAGTTATTTTGAGCTCAATGGGTCGTGCATAGGCTTTTGGTAATGATTCAAGAAAGAATTTGAGACCCATTAGCAAAATTGAAGCTTTTTAGGCAAAGTTGACTTTTGAAAGTTCCCAAAAATTTCCAAACTTCTCCAATGCATATCTTGCTCAATTTTGAAGCTATGAACATGTTCTTGGACATTTTGGAAAGGTCTTGAAGTCCTCTAACCAATGCCTTTGGTCCCATGTCATTTTGATTTACCAATATCAAGTTATGGTCTTTGACTTAAAGTGCCTTTTTGTTGACTTTTGAAAATGACCTATAATGTTGAAATTGATAACTTTTTGTGAGAGCATTTCTTGGACTTGGAGTGTGAAGATGAATTGTAGTAAATGTCATCCCCTTCAAAATGAGATTTGGATGGGATTTTTCTGATAAACCATGAAAAAGTTATGCCTTGGTCAATTTGCAGTTGACTTTTCAGCTGTCCAAAGATAGAAACTTTTGCATCTTGAGACTTTTTGAGCCATGCTTGTGGAATCATGATCAAGAATTGATCAAATGAAGATTGTGGCTTCAAAATAAGATGTTGATCAAAAAATTTGACTTTTGACTGTCAAATGACCATTTTACCCCTGCAGTTGACTATGAAGCTTTTAGGGTTTTTGACTGTGCAGCTTGATGCTGTGAGTCTTGAACCTTGACATATGGATGCTTGACAATGGATATAGGCATATGGGACTTGATTGGACCCTTGAAAACCTCAATTTCTTTGCAAGAACCTAAACCCTAATTTTGACTGTGTTAGGAGGCAATTGGACTGTGCAACCCTTGAGAGATTTTGAACCATTTGGAGATTGATCTTGGCAAATCTTGAAAAATATGGGAGGACAAATTTTGGGGTACAACAGCATCTATAATCCCATCTCCGACACCTCTCCAAATAGCATCTATAAGCCCATTCCCGGTACAATCAACCAACAACGTTACCTCTTGCACAGGCGAGTGCAAATTTCTGGACACTTAAGTGTTCAATCATCTTCTACCTTCAAGTCACGAATGACGGACATGTCAATCTAACTCTTCGGGTTTAAGAAGATTGAACGGGGGAAGCTGTTGTACCTCAAAATTTATCCTCCCCTTTCTTTCTCAAGACATTCTTCTAAAGCTTCTCAAACACTCAAGGCACTCAAGGGTTGACCAATCAATGCTCCTCCTAAGCCTAGAGGTCTACAATTAGGGTTTTGAATTTCTCAAGGAAATTTGGATTGAAAAGGTCTCAAGTGGCTTCCATAGTTCTTCATAGGTCCTCAACAAGGTCCATGTCAAGTTTCAAGACCTACATCACAAGTTTGCTCAGTCAATGGCCCAAATGATTGAAAATCAACTGTATTGATTAAAAAGTCAACTGTGGTCAACATATAGTCAAACTTTAAGATTTTTGGTCAATATTAACATTTTGAAGTGAAATTCACCATTTGATCAAAGGTTGATCATGATTCCCCAAAGAAAGCTCTCAAATCATCAAAAGTCAAGAATTGTCAAATTAAAGTTTCCTTAGAAGAAATCAACTGAACTTTGACTAGACATAATTTTCACATGCTTCATCAACTTTTCCCCAATCAAAACTCATTTTGAAGAAAATTCAATTCACTACGACTTTGTTTTTATACTAAATGAAAATATTAAAGTTGGTAAATTAATTCTAAAATCAAAATCCTAAAAAAATACTAAACTAATTCTAAATTAAAATTAAACTAATCTAAGTAATAAAACTAATCTAATAACTAAAACATAATTATTTGATTAACTTACTAACTTAATTAAAATTAAAACAAAAATCTAACAACTAACTTAAATTAAAAGACTCATTTAAGTGAAGAGTATATAAAAATGTTTTTTTTTGTTTTTTTTTCTTTTAATTATTATTTTGTTTTTCTGAATTTTTTTTATGGTCAAAATGGAATTAATCTAACTAAGAAATAAATTAGTTACTAAAATGAATGAATGTTCAGCATCCATAGACCTAGAGCCCATCTAAAATTAAAACCTAATTAAACCTAAGTTATGAAACAAGGCATAAGACCATAAAGTGAAAACTAAACATACTAAATTCCAAGAGTGTGTCACGTATGACACCTCCTTTTAAACTAGATTTAAACAAACTTTTTTAAGAAAAAAAATAAAAAATAGTAATAGTTATGTGAATAATAAACAATTAATAAATTGAATGAATGAAATTGAGTTATTGACTTTTTCAACCTATCATATATCCACTAGAATGGTGACACAAGTTGTTAGGAAGAATACAATAGGAAAAAAGTATCAAAATAGGATAGACACAAAACAGATCTATTTTTTCACTTTTTTCTTTTTAGATCTTGTTCTGCATCTCTAAGCATCACTTTCTCTCAACCTTATTTTTTTCTCAAATTCAGATTCATGATCCAAACATCCAAGCCACAATAATCTATAAAGCAAATAAAGCGAGAAGGAGAGAATACCAAGCGAGTGACCACTCCGAGCAGAATGAAGGTGGCTTTCCGACGGCGGTGTGGGTTTCAACGGTTGAAGTTGGAAGAATAAGGTTGGAGAAAACTCTGTAAAAATTTTTGTATAATAATTTTTTTAACACTTTTTCTTTCTAATTTTTTTTCTCTTTTCTCAATATTTCTGATGTGACTCTTGGTGTGTATTGAACAGATTTGTGGGATATCCTCTGTTAAATTTTCGGTCTCCCCTTTTTTTGTTGTGAAGACATACATTTATAGTGAAGCAAATGATAAAATAAAAGGAAAACTGGTGAGATTTGAACAAAATTGGTACTCTGGTTTGTGACTTTTTGATGCAGCTTTCAAATTTGCTAATTTGGTGTAATTTTGCAGCAGGTCCTGGACTTGTATGGACTGGTGTAGCAGGTGGATAACATCATTTTGTTCGTATTGGGCAGTAGCAATGGACAACAACAAGGGCCAAAATAGTAGCAGGTTTATTTAAGGTTTATGGACAACATGTTTTGTTGTGAATTTTTTCCGCCATTTTTATTATTTATATTAATAATTTTAATTATTTAATTTTTTTATTAATTACAAATAATTTAATAAACTATTTAGTTATAAAATTAATTAATAAAATATTAATTTAAAAACTTAAAATAACTATTTAACAATTACAATATAAATTTTTTTTATTAAATAATAAAATATCACAATTACAAATAAAATGCTAAATAAAAAAATACAGTTAAAATTTCACAATTACACTATTTAATGCTGACCCGGTCCGAAACGAGTACCGATAAAATAATAACGCAGTCGCGGAGCACGATGACCAAAACCATATTGTTCGGTCTCTGTTGGAGGATTTTGTTGTGTTGCATATGATGTTGGAGGATTTTCTTGACTAGGAGTTGTCGCTTGTGGAGGAGACCAAATATTTTACCGTAAATCATAATAACTGACGTTAAGATCCTCGCCAAAATTATATTGCGGTGTGACGGACACATGATTGGAAAATAAGGGGTTATGTTGGGAGGAGGAGGAATCGAAGTTTGGCCGCATGATGGGTGTGAATTGTGTAGTTGGCCTATTATAAATTTGCGGTTGTTGAGATTCATAAATGTAATTTGGTTGGGAGTGAGATTGCGGGTATTGGGTGTTAAAAATTTGATTTTGGTAAAAATAAGGGGCAGGAGTTTGTAGTTGAGAAAAATGAGGGTTAGAAGTTTGGGGATGAGGAGGTTGAGAATGTTGTGAGTGGTGAGGTTGTTGAGAGCCACTTGCCTGAGTAGGGGCATATTGATTTTGACGAGGGTCAGTGAGAAATTGTTGATGCATATCTATGTGGAAGCGAGTGATACCATTGCATGTACTTATTTGACGGTTTCTCCTCTGTTTGTAATTGATCTCCATCCAACGTAAACAATTCTCGATGCAACCTTTTATTGATGTCATCTTATGGTGTTCAGCCAGGCATCGAGGTTTTCAGGTATCCTTGTAAATGGCCAAATTGTAATTTTACCCTATCTGCTTGATGCATTTCTACAATATGAAAACATATTATATACGTAGTTGAACTCCATATCAAACTGTCCTAATAAATTGAAAAGTTATAGATAAAACTTTTTAGTTTAACCAAAATAAAATTCAAAAATAAACTTTTTAGTTTAACCAAAATAAAATTCAAAAATTTATAAGAAGTATTAAAGTGAAGAAAAAAACCCTGATCTTGAAACATGTGATCAATTCTGAATCGGTATCCTTGTAGATGGTGGCGCGGGTTGTTTTGGTAGTCAAGTTTGTTGATGCATCACCTAAAAAGAATTTAAAATTAAATTTTATTTTAAAGTATCCTAACAAATTTAATTATAATTTTAAATTTGAATTAAAATATTACCTTCTTGCGTAAGGATATGGAGCTTGAAGCGGAGCCACCAGAGATATTATAGGCATGCGTGTAAAAGTTCAATCTTGAAGAAGTAAAACGCATCCTGACATCTCTGTTACTTTTATGTCTACAAACTTGCACATTTCCCTATATAGATTGGCTAAAATGGCAGAACTCCAACTCAATTTTCCACAATCTTCCAAATCCACAACAAATTGTGTCCATTTTGAGTGTATAGTATTACCGCTTTTGTTAGGAAATAAAACTTGCCCGATAAGAAGTAAGATATAAATACGAGCATGTTTAATTTTATACTCCTCAGGTGACTTCTCGGTTGGTGGTTCATGTTGGTACATGTCTTTAAGCCATGTCAACCTCGCAGTCATTCCCTTATCACTTTGTGGTGGTTCATCCCCTAAAATAGAACTCCATCTCCATGCACCACCACCTAGCTCGGATGGACCATTTACCGTTTTACCCTCTACATGAAGCCTCAATAACATACTCACATCTTCCAATGTAATTGTGCATTCACCGTTTGGAAGATGAAATGTATGAGTTTCGGGTCTTCGCCGTTCCAGTAAGGCTATAATTAACCTTGAATCGATGTGTGTGGACCCTATTGTAGATACAGAGTAGAAACCAGATATGTGAAGGTAAGGGATTATGACTGCATGTGGCTTTAGAGGTTTGTGAGCACGAATTTCAAAATGGAGAATTCGTGCTCACAAACCTCTAAAGCCACATGCAGTCATAATCCATTACCTTCACCAATCTGTTTTCTACCATGTATCTACAATAGGGTCCACACACATCGATTCAAGGTTAATTATAGCCTTACTGGAACGGTGAAGACCCGAAACTCATACATTTCATCTTCCAAACGGTGAATGCACAATTACTTTGGAAGATGTGAGTATGTTATTGGGGCTTCCTGTAGATGGTAAAACGGTAAATGGTCCATCCGAGCTAGGTGGTGGTGCATGGAGTTCTATTTTAGGGGATGAACCACCACAAAGTGATAAGGGAATGACTGCGAGGTTGACATGGCTTAAAGACATGAACCACCAACCGAGGAGTCATCTTACTTCTTAGGGCAAGTTTTGTTTCCTAACAAAAGCGGTAATACTATACACTCAAAATGGACACAATTTGGTGTGGATTTGGAAGATTGTGGAAAATTGAGTTGGGGTTCCGCCATTTTAGCCAATCTATATAGGGAAATGTGCAAGTCTGTAGACATAAAAATAACAGAGATGTCAAGATGCGTTTTACTTCTTCAAGCTTGGGCTTTTACACGCATGCCTATAATATCGCCGGTGGCTCCGCTTCAAGCTCCATATCCTTACGCAAGAAGGTAATATTTTAATTTAAAATTATAATTAAAATTTGTTAGGATACTTTAAAATAAAATTTAATTTTAAATTCTTTTTAGGTGGTGCATCAACAAACTTGACTACCAAAACAACCCGCGCCACCATCTACAAGGATACCGATTCAGAATTGATCACATGTTTCAAGATCAGATTTTTTTTCTTCACTTTAATACTTCTTATAAATTTTTGAATTTTATTTTGGTTAAACTAAAAAGTTTATTTTTGAATTTTATTTTGGTTAAACTAAAAAGTTTTATCTATAACTTTTCAGTTTATTTGGAGGCCGTATCTTGGATTAGCGCCACAAAGGGACGAGGACAGTTTGATATGGAGTTCAACTACGTATATAATATGTTTTCATATTGTAGAAATGCATCAAGCAGATAGGGTCAAATTACAATTTGGCCATTTACAAGGGATACCTGAAGAACCTCGATGCCTGGCTGAACACCATAAGATGACAACAATAAAAGCGCGCCAAAAAGCATATACAATATTATACTCTGATGAACAAAACTGTTGGTTGCATCGAGAATTGTTTACGTTGGATGAAGATCAATTACAAACAGAGGAGAAACCGTCAAATGAGTACATGCAATGGTATCACTCGCTTCCACATAGATATGCATCGTACGAACAATTTCTCACTGACCCTCGTCAAAATCAATATGCCCCTACTCAGGCAAGTGGCTCTCAACAACCTCACCACTCACAACATTCTCAACCTCCTCATCCCCAAACTTCTAACCCTCATTTTTCTCAACTACAAACTCCTGCCCCTTATTTTTACCAAAATCAAACCTTTAACCCGCAATCTCACTCCCAACCAAATTACATTTATGAATCTCAACAACCGCAAATTTATAATTGGCCAACTACACAATTCACACCCATCATGCGGCCAAACTTCGATTCCTTCTCCTCCCAACATAACCCTACAACGCCTTATTTTTCAACCATGTGTCCGCCACAACAACCGCAATATAATTTTGGCGAGGATTTTAACGTCAGTGATTATGATTTACTGGAAAGCATTTGGTCTCCTCCACAAGCGACAACTCCTAGTCAAGAAAATCCTCCAACATCAGATGCAACACAACAAAATCCTCCAACAACAGAGACCGAACAACAATATGGTTTTGGTCATCGTGCTCCGCGACCGCGTTATTATTTTACCGGTACTCGTTTCGGACCGGGTCATCAGCATTAAATTGTGAAATTTTAACTTTATTTTTTATTTAGCATTTTGATTGTAATTGTGATATTTTATTATTTAATAATTTTTTTATTATTATATTGTAATTGTTAAATAGTTATTTTAAGTTTTTAAATTAATATTTTATTAATTAATTTTATAACTAAATAGTTTATTAAATTATTTGTAATTAATAAAAAAATTAAATTATTAATAAAAATGTAAGAAAACGAAGAAAAAAAATTAAACTGGCCTTTCACGCCATTTGATTTGGCGTGAGCCCTTGCTGTCCACATTCGTGCCATTTCAAATGGCGTGAACTCCCCCTGGGTGTGGCATTCTGGACTATTTTTTTTCAGACTGTGGCATTTTGAGAAATTTTTTTCGTGGATGTGGCATGTTGGGAAAAAATTCTTTTGTTGTTTTGCTTGGCATAATTGTGGACAGATTTTAGATTGTTTTTTTGACAGTTTGTTTGACATTATTATGCAGGTTTTTGATGGCAATTACACAACAGTAGCTGCAGGTTTTTGGATTATTGGAGCAGCATAGCATAGCAGTATGGATTGTTGTATTTGGCCATTTTATGGACTGGTTTTAGAGCAGGTTATCTAGAGGGGCAGCAGCCGATTTTGGCATTATTATGCAAGTTTTATGCAGCTTGGACAAGGACAAGTCATCATTTGTGGATAGCATAATGGTTTTGGACTGCAAGATTTTTTTTGGCATCGAGTAGAATAAGTTTAACACAATACGCCTTGTATAAAAATACTTGAAAATCTCTTTGTAAATCTTCTTGAAGAAGTTAAGATCAAATGATATCTGTATGAATTTGTTTTGAAATCAAATCAATGAAATTACATATGTATCCACACAAACTTTATCTAAGGTTCATGTTCTTTACTTCTAACCTTGAAATGATGTTGGTGATGCAATACATTAGAAATTGAATGAACTTGTAACCTTGTAAAGTTTTGACATTTCAAGTGCCCTTACCAAACTTAACCTTTTCTTCTGGCCTTTCGATAAATTGGATGCATCGTTATCTTCAAGTGTCTTCAAATAAATGGATGAAACTTGTAATTCCAAACTCAAGAAATGAAACTTTTGAATCCACCCACTTTGAATCTCGAAAGAATTGAAGAACTATGCCTTAATTTCCAAGCGACACGACTTCTTGGGTTCCAAATAATTCACATGAATGGACTTCGATTTTCAAATCAATTCTTGAGAAAAACACTTAATGAATTCAAGAAATGTCATGTGGCTTGAACAACTAGTAAACTTAACACAAGAAAATCAACATCTTAAGAAATCATGACGCTGATTGAAAATAGAGGTCAAGAAATGGCCTATAATGTTTCAATATAATTCACGGCTTTCTGAACGCATTTGACTTTTGATCCTCAGAGCAAACTTGTAGATGAAATTATTTGTAATAAGTTGCAAAAAGAATCGTCTTAAAACGTTGAAAATTGAGGAAGTTATGATCCTTGGGAGTCAGACAACTATTACTTGAGATTAGGTCAAAGTCCATATAATGACTTCTAAAGTATTCAAACTTTTGCTGATCCTCTGCACATAATCATATCTTGACATGTAAAGAGAATTTTGAGACGACGTCAAGGAGAGTCATATGCAAAAAGAATCATTCAAAAATATTGAATAATGAAGAAGTTATGATCGTTTGAACTTGATCTTGCAAAAGTTGACTTTGGTCGAAGTGCTTTGAATCGCCTTGCAAACTTGACCCTTCCTTGCATTCCAAGGCATATGGATGCACATGTGAATCAATGATGATGAAATCTTGACTGTGATTTTGATATTAGAGGCTAAGCTTTGATGAAGTAGTCTTTGAGAGTCGGTGATCCATCATACTTAAATACTTAAGGGATCCAAAATCCTAGTTGAGGTGCAACACCAGCTGCTCTTGATTTAGACATATCTCTGTACATGAAAACCAAATAAACAGAGCATACACCTTTGTATTTGATTAGAAGTTAGTGATGTATAAGACAATATGTTCACAACACTTGACAGTTTTTTCACAAGCAATGCTCGAAGGTGAGCGGATTAAAAACCAACTGTATCTCGTGACCTTGATGCTTTATGAAAATGCAAGTGAAGATGGAATCTTAGGTCAAAAATTTGGGTAAGACAATAAGTATCCCATGTTCCTCCTTGCTCAAGAACACAAGCTCTCAATAAATCTTCTAACGACTGAATAGTTCTCTCCGTCTGTTCATCCGTCTGTGGATGATATGTCGAACTCAATCTCAGCTTAGAGCCCAACGTGTCCTGTAGACTCTCCCAAAATCCAAAAGTGAACCTTGGATCTCTATCACACACAATGCTAGATGGAACACCATGAAGATTTACAATCACATGTATATAAATCTTCGTTAATTGTGGTACCGAAAAACTGATGATGATCGGAATAAAATGAGTTTTCTTTGTTAGCCTATCAACAATCACCCAAATCGTATCATTCCCCCTTGAAGTACTCGACAACACAATCACAAAGTCCATCTATATATTATCCCATTTCCACTCAGGAACATCTAACGATTTCAACAACCCCGCAGGTTTCTGATGTCTGACTTTCGACTTCTGACAAGTCACACATGCATACACAAACCGTGCCCCATCTCGTTTCAATTCGGACCACCAAAACAACTTCTTCAAGTCTTGATACATCTTAGTCGCACCTGGATGAATACTCAAATTACTTCCACGGCTTTCTTCCATAATCATCTTTTTCATCTCAGAGTCACCAAGAATACAAATTCTATCCCAGAATCTCAACACAACTTGCACATCTTCTTTGAAATCACTATCTTCAGACTGATTACGTCCAACCATCAAATCTACCAGTTTGGCATCCAATTTCTTAGCCTCTTTAATATTATTCAAGAAATCACTATTAATCTTCAACATTTCCAACATCACACTCTACGGTGTTATTTCAGAGACTAAACTCAAGTCTCTGAATTGTTAAATCAATTCTAATTCTTTAACCATCATAACAGACATATGTAACGATTTTCGGCTTAAAGCATCCTCCACAACATTAACTTTACCCGTACGATAATTTAAGCCAAAATCATAGTCCTTCAACAGTTCTAGCCATCTTTGTTGTCTCATATGCAAGTCCTTTTAGTTGAATAATGCCTCCAAATCTGGAGCCGTAAAGATAATGCCTCCAAATCTTTAGTACAAACACCACTGCAACTAATTCTAGATCATGAGTAGGGTAATTCCTTTCATGAATCCTTAATTTCCTCGATGCATAGGATACCACTTTATCAATCTGCATAAGCACACCACTTAAACCCAATTTAGAAGCATCACAATATACAACAAACGATTCTTTAGGATTAGGTAATATCAAAATCGGAGTCGTCGTCAATTTCTTCTTTAGCTCAGTAAAACTTTCCTCACACTAGATATCCCACACAAACGCTTTTCCTTTACAAGTCAGCTGGGTCAACGGAAGTGCTAACTTAGAAAATCCTTCGATCAATCTTCTATAATAACTAGTCGACCCCATAAAGCTTCTAATTTCTGTAACCTACTTTAGAGTCTCCCACTGCAATAATGAATCTACCTTGGATGGATCTACAACAATAACACCGCCTGAAATAACATGACCAAGAAAAATAAATCTCTCTAACCAGAAATCACACTTTGACGACTTCACATATAGCTTCTTATCTTTCAACACTTGCAATACAATTCACAAATGCTCATCATGTTCTTCCTATGATTTGGAATATATCAAAATATCATCAATGAATACGACTACAAACGGATCCAAGTAGGAGTGGAAGATACGGTTCATATACTCCATAAACACTCTCGGCGCATTGATAACACCGAATGACATCACTAAATACTCATAATGTCCATATCGAGTTCTTAAAGTTGTCTTCTGAATATCGTCATCTTTGACTTGAATCTGGTGATAGCTCGATCTCAAGTCAATCTTGCTAAATACACGTGCACCCACCAGTTGATCCATCAAGTCATCTATTCTCGAAAGTGGATACTTGTTTTTAATTATTACTTTATTCAATCATCGGTAATCAACACAAAGTCTCATACTACCATCCTTCTTTTTCACTAGCAACACTGGAGCTCTCCAAGACGATACACTTGGTCTCATAAATTTCTTCTCAAGCAAGTTTTCTAATTGCTTCTTCAACTCTGCTAATTTAAATGCCGACATCCTGTAGGTTGCCATAGAAACGAGTTTGGTACCAGGAACAAGATCAATACAAAACTCCACTTCTCTTTTTAGAGGCACATTTGGAACATCATATGGGAAAACTTCAAGAAAATCATGCACTACATGTAACTCATCAATTGCAGCCTGATTCTCAATAGACAAGGATGTCATCAAAGAAAACATATGAGCTTCAACTTGCATCAATTTGCTCAACTTCCTAGCAGATAAGAGTCCAACTTCCCCTTCCTCATCAGGATTAGAAAACCGCACAGTTTTTTTCTAACAGTTAATATGAACATAATTTTATTCCAACTAGTTCATTCCTAGAATCACGTCAAGACCACTCAACGGTAAGCAAACTAAATCCACAATAAATTCTCTGTCAAAGATCTCCAAAGGACACTTCGAACATAGAAGAGAAGTAGTCACCGACCCCTTAGATGGAGTATCAACAATCATATCTCCATTCATTGAAGATAATACAAGACCCAACTTTTTCAGAGTCAACAATAATAAAAAAAATGGGTAGCACAAGTATCAATAATAGTAATTAAAGAAGTACTATTAATGAAACATGTAACACCCCTTCTAATAAACCCCGAATTAAACGATATAATTAAAATCAGAGAAAATAAAATTGCACGGAAGGAGTGTCACAACATCAATTCACCTATTCAAGAAAGACAGACATGACATATTCGTCACTTTAATCATTTAATCACATAATACATTCATGGCATATACTTTCTTTTTCGTGCAAACGCAACGGAATCATAGTAACTTCATCTC